GGATTGCTTACGAGCGAATCCAAGGGAATTAAGTTGCAATAAGGGGAAGGACTACCGATGAAGAGTGCAAGAGGAAACTCTGAGCTCTGCATCAAGGGATAGCTCATTCCATTGACAACCATAAGGGATAGATATAAGAATAAGAATGAGTAACATCTCATAACCTCGCATGCTACCATGCGACAATACCATTGTGCATTGACTAGTCTAAAGATCTAAGAGATTAAAGTTTGTATTTCCAAATAAGTGAGCAGTTATTGATTATTTTCTAGAATAAGCCTGCTAATTGTAAAGCTGTAAAGCTGAATTGTAAGCTGTATCCCGTCGCACCTACTATGCCGACTATTGTCAAGTCCAGCAGCAAAAAGACTGTGGCGTCTTTAGAGCAAGGAACTATCGCCACCAGTGATGATATTTGATGCATAGAATAAGATACTCCAAGTACCGTGCGGTAGCTACTTGCGCATGTACCAGTACCGTAGGAGCTGCTGGTTGGAGAGTTTGTTGTTCGTTAATCTTCTGAAAACTCTTCAAAAATCACGCACCTCCATGACTACAGCTGCACGGAACGTCCTCTGGAACGAGCAGAGATGTTGCGATCTCATGGCCAGCAGATTCCGGCGGCGCGGTGAGGGCAGCAGCTGCATCGCAGCCCATCAACCTGGGTTCATTCTAGCTAGCTAGTTAGACCTCGTGCCCTTGCACCAACCAATGATGGTCAGCGACAACTTGCACAACTGGAACGATGGTGCCGTACATGAATGTTCCTTAGACCTGAGCTGCTGACTTCTATAAATTCGATGGCGAGGCTGCCCTTATGATTGGATTGATTCGCAAGGAAGCTACTACTACCAAGTTTTTGCTAGCTAGTGGCTCAGCTCGTTGACGACCTCTCAGATCCTATGTAATACAAGACTTGTAGGAAACTGCTCCAGTTGAATCCTCTGCTCCTGCACATCCTTAACTATGTATTTTCACACCCAACGTTCGCAATGGCGGAAACAGAGGCAGAGCCAAGGACACAGTTATCAAAGACCACCCCCCAGTCAAGAATTCAATCGTTCCTACCATATTTGCCTTTCTGCACAAAGCAAGCAAGAAAGACTGGCTACTCATTCATCCACAGGTATCCCATGTGCCTTGCAGGCGTACTCGTAGAGTGATTCATGCCATACCTCAAAGGCCCACAGGTACTCCAACTCATCGTCCCATCCTGCCACACACTCCTCGTCATCACCCTCTTCGTTGTGCCGCTGTTGTTGTTGTTGTTGTTGTTTTCTTATGGCACACATCATTTGTATGGGTTGTCCATCGGTGGTGGGAGCAATGGGGATATGCCGCAATAGCGGCAGCCGTAGATTCATGGCAAATTCTTTTTGTGGATTTTCAAACATGACCAAGTTTTCGTAGAATTCAAAGGTATACTCCTTGTCGGTTGAAAAGGCAAACTCGGGCAAGTGATGATGTGAAAAGTCAAACGACTCGTCATGATGATGATCATGGTGTTGTTCGTCGTGAGCATGCTTTTTCTCTTCCTGCCGTTGTGTTCGTTTCGATTTGCTGAGCAATTTGTTAAAGTATCGTTTTCGAAACTTTCGATTCTTATTGGTGTCATCTTTTGTGGGAGGCGCCACGGGAACAATATCGTCTGGAGCCAATGCTTGTGTCGCTTCATGAATCATACTGTGTGGGTGTGTGGCATGGGGTTCCTGGAATTCTTGTTCCATAGTGGCAGCGTCATTGGAAGCATAGCAATGATTAATGTGATCATCGTAAATGCTGTCGTAAAAGAACTGTCCATCGTGGCAGACGAGTCCTTGATCTTGTTGCTCCTTATTGGTTGTGGTTGTGTTGGTGGTTGTCGTTGTATCATTATTACTTTTGAGTGGCGTGACTAGAATGGTTTGTGTGGTGCTAATGAGTGGTGCCAATGAGCGTGGTTTGGGTCCAAATAGTTCCAACGAGGAATGTGGCGCCAAGCGTGCCAACAGAGCTTGAAAGGCTTTGATGATCCAATTGGGTGGCAATTTCCCGGCCGGTCGTCGAAAGGTTTGTCCCGACAAACAGTCGTAGACGGGTTGGGAATGTCGAAAGCGTCCTCGAATGACTCCCTGAAAGGTTCGTTGTCGCGTTCCAAAGTAGTCCTTTTTGGCATTGGTAGTAGTAGCAGTGTTGTGTACCAGAGACGGCACGCCCCGCACTCGAATGAGCAGTGACCCCACCATGTGTTTCGAGACAAAATCGACAATGAGACAGTGTCCGGGAGGTTCGCTGCCGGAATTGACGGGGACCAAGTCGGGATGCTTCTCACAAAAGTCGTCGGGCAAACCACGGACTCCCACAATGTGTGTCGATGTCCCGGGAGACGCACGAATAAAGACGGGACGTTGCGGCCATGTGGAAGGATGCGGTGGTAACGGATAGTTGGGTGTCGTTTGACTGACGCGAGTGTATTGTTGTTGTTCTACAAAGTCGATAGGAGGAGGAGGCGGTGCTTCTTCTTGTTGGTGTGCTTTATTGCTGCGACGCCACCATTTCTTCTTGTTCTTCTTGTTTGTGTCTTCTTCATCTTCATCTTGGTCATTGACCAGTGGTGGACTTGACTTGGCATTATGATTGTAACGATCGTATTGCTGCTGATGCTCTATTGGAAGAGGCAGACTGAAGAAGCGAAACAATTCTCTTTCGGCACGCAGCAAACAGCCCTTCAGCTTGTTGGTGTCATTGTCTTCCAAACTCGTAGAGCTGTCGCTGCTGGTAGAAGACCCAACAGACATCTTCTTCTTCATCAGTGTCATTGCTTCTTCACATACATACACCAAGTAAATGTACTAGCTAGTAATGTAACTCCTTAGCTTAGTATTGATGAGATGCTTCCACAATGAGAGAGCTTTCACTGGAAGGTTCAGATCCGTTTGGAATGCTTTTCTTCCTCCTTCATGGTGCAACCGTAACCGCTCTAAAACTTGCAATTGCGCCATTGGCTCCTCATCATTGGTTCGTTGACGGTGCGTGGCGAAAACAACACTCAGAGAAATAATGCAGCCGCACTGCGTCATTGTCCACGGGTTACCTCAGTTGCAAGAAACTTTGCGAGAACACTTCAAGGAGATGGCCTGCAAACCAGTGCTTTCCCCGCCGGCTCATCCCCACCCAGGTTTTACTATTAGCCCCCCCTGCAAATAAATGAAAGGCCCACCATGTACCACCCTGATGCTGAAATTGCTGAATCTGATGCTGACAAATGCTGAATTTGCTGAATCCAGTTTCAGCAAGTACGTAGCAATGGATGTTGCTCACAGAGCTCTCACCCCACAAACCCATGGAGGCTGATGCTGTCGTCGTTCTCCGTGGTGGCCTCTGTGGCCTCTGGTGATACATAACCCTTGCTCGTTTCCGCCATGAAACCACTCTTCCCTTCTTCCAAGTCCTTTCCAGAGGAGTTGCCAAGATCGACTGGAATAGGATGCTTTGCAAGCTCATCTTTGCTGTACCGGTAGAATCTGAAATGAAAACTCTTGTGCTAGGTTGGAAGCAGGAGCAGTCTTGGAGGCAGAACTGCGAGCTCTGTACTCTCATATCTTGTAGAGGATCAAGCAGGAATATACTTGAGCTCCATACAGGCAGGTTAGGAGAAACATGAAAAAGATAGTCCAGAACACTCCCTTGGACAAAGTAGATGCCACCAGCAACAGTGACAGCAGTCTTGCACAACAGGGACTGGGCAGCAGAAAAATAGAACCAAAAGCTTGCCACCTTTGACAGATGTTGAGTCGGAAGAGGAAGAGTGCTAGGAAGGTGAGCTGCTCAACAGTGGCATGGAAGCCCAACAAGGTGGCAAATCGAATGTAGAAGAGGCTGAAGACAGCTGGATGAGAAGGATTGTGACAAGGTGGTGAACCAAAAGAGGAGTCCAATCTTCTTCCTGAAGATGAGCTCCCAGATGTACAACACTGCAACAAGAATGATTGCAAGGTTCAAGCTCTCCATACGGGCTGCCGAGGTGGTTTCTTGCCACTGAAAGATGAGATCCACAGAACCATAAAGCTGGGCTGCCAGCGCCACACTGGTTCCAAGGAATTGCATGATGTAGATGATGACATTGTTTTGCTTGTCAGAGTCAAGCTTCTTGAAGGAGGTACGGAGGTTTTTGTTTGGGAAGCGATGCAGAAGTGTGCTGGCTAGATTGGAGACAAGCCAGAAGGCCAGAACTATCATCTCTAAACTGCAGCTTCTAGGCGCAGTCTCCTCTGTCTCTCCTCCTGAACCCACCTGAGTTAGCCTCTCCTAGCTAGGTGCCCTTCAGGGTCGATAGCTAGGCTCAACCAACCCAAAGCCATCGTTTCGACGTACCGGTACTGGCAGGGCATCCCGCGTCCCGAAGCGCCATGCCAGGCCTGACCGGTACCTACAGTACTTCATCTTGCAAGAAGGTTCAGTACCTTGAGCTAAACCTGCTGGCTACATGTAACTCCAACCCCAGCTTTCTACGCACATGACCACAAACAAAGTCCAAGCAATCATCCCGGTGGTTGCACCCTTCTGAGCTACTGCCAGTAGCACAACCGGTTGCAATCTCAAAGGATCGTGCACCTTGGGTCAACGTGGCACATGTGGATCCAATTCGCTGCTCAATCGTGGATACTCTTAAGTAATTTTGTCGACCAGAATGTTGAATTTCAGAAGCTATTCGTTGGATACCCTCAGTTCGCCCTCGTCAGCCAACCACATGGAAAGAAATGAGATCTGAAGGTTCCCAGGCGTCTCTCTTTTCTTTTACACATCCAAAGCAAGGAGGGAGAGCTCGCTATGGTCGCGAACTAGCAGTTTAGCTAGTAGCTAGAGAGCGAGAGTTTGCCATCCATTTTTCTCCTTTGGGCTGTATTGATTATCCCAGAATAAACAAAGCTGCCCTTGCTTGCAGCCACCGACACAAACCGGTTTGCCGCGACAACGCTCAGCGCTGAGCGAGAAGCGTCAAACGATTAATCATTGTCAAGATGGCAAGGCGCAACAGTGCAAAGAAGCGTAGGTCGGGGACTGTCGGTTCTCTGTTGTGGGGAAGCAACCACTCGTCGTCATTTCCAAGTGAAGAGTTTGGCATGGATCCCACTGAAGTTTCCGTAGGGGACGAGGTCTCTTCCGTTTCTTCCAATGAGGATGCGAGCCATGCCACTGCCACTTCGACAAGTACCGCCAGTAGTGTCTTTTCCATCCGCAAGAGTTCCATCTTGTCTGTTTCGTTGAGAGATTTGTGCCGAACCCCCTGGAAAGTCACGCTTGGCTTGGCTGCGTTCCTGGACTGTATTTCCACCGTCTTGCCGGGTCGACTTGCCGTCCATGAGCAACGAGGAAACAAAGCTTCCTGTGACGCGGAGCTCGAGTTGTTTGGCCAACACATTAGCGTGACGAGCCCCAAGGTCGTGGAGGCGATTGCTTGGCTTGACCAGAATGCCGTGTACTTTGGCTTTTTGTTTTCCGTGCTTTGGTGCATCCAAGCCTTTCGTGATGCCAGGCACACACGAGAAAAAGCCATGAGAGAGCGTGATCGCAGGAGGTTGCTCCATAGAGGGGACAGCATTGCCATTCTGGATTCCAAAGATGAACTTGTCAAGTCTGGGTACTCGGATGGTTACGGACCTTGGCTGGCATTTTATGCCACTTTGATCATGCAGTTGCTCTTTCTGCCCGTGGGCTTTTACGTGATGCTGTACCAAGGATTCCAGCTGGTCACGTCGGGAAAGATTTCCAACCTGGAGGAAGCCATTCAACATGTGGACATCAGCAAGGATTCTGATGATCATGACCAGACCCTGCAGTCCATCCTGAACAGCACCTATCAGGTGGTCAATGTCTCCATGGCCGGCCAAGACTTCACACAGGATTCAAGACTCAGTGTGGTCTTGCTCATTGCAAAGCATGCTGGTAGCACCCTGTACCGGCTAGTTGGAGCAGCTGTTGGAGCCAAGGCCAAAAGGTGGGCGGTCAAGAAAGGATTCAAAGAAGGCCGAAAGCTCGGGATCGATGTCATCATCCGACCTCGTAGGGTCTGGAGAAAGGCACGCAAAGCTATCCGCTGGGTCCGGTGGGGGAAGTATCTAGCTCCCCTCATTGCAACGGGGAACAAGCTCCGGGAAAACGTCGAAGATTTGCTCAAGAAACGCAGACAGCGCCGAGAAGCAGTCCTGGCCCAGAGGATCCGCAAAATCCTGTGGAAGGAAATGACCCAAGAGGAACGCCAGGAAAAGGCTGCACGTGGAATCCAGAGCATGTATCGAAGCTACATGGTCAGAAAGGCTAGATGGGCTCTAGCTCTCATCCAGTGCCGAACAGATGAGTTGGCTGCCATTCGTGTCCAGTCAATGTTGCGAAGGAGCTTGCAGCGTGCCAGGGCACGAATTAGGCAGAAGCGAACAGAACTGCAGGAACTAGAAGCCAGAGAGCGGCGTGTTATGCAAGGTGATAGACGATTGGCAATGAGCCCCTATGAGCGTAAACGTCTGTACCAGCTCCAGGATGAGATGAAGGCAACTACAAACAAAGACTCTATTGATAGACGCCTTCTACTGCGCCCCAACACTTGGTTTGCCGTGGCATGGAAAATAACCTTTGTGTTCTGTGTGCTGCTGGAAATTACAGATTTGGCAGTGAACCCTCTATTGGCAAAGCAAAAAGACAAGGCCACGGGGAAGCCTCTTACTCTCTCGACCAAGCTTCAAAGTGTCATGATCCCCAAGCCTATGATCGCTCGCAAACAATGCTCCTGTTCTTCTAGGGAGCTCGAAGAGCTTGATTCTTGGATCCTCTCATTGTCCACACCCCGACAAACCCAATGCCCCTCAGATCCGTGGTTCTGTCAGCCTCCAGTCTCTGCAGCACAAGCTTTCTATACAGCTGTCATGCGATTTGTGCTCGAACATTTCATGGTTATTGTCAGTATCGTTGTTTTCTTGGATGTGCCTGTGTACTTCTACACGGGAGAGCTCTGCCCAGACACAGGTTCACTTATTCCAAAGGGTTTCTTTGATCGGTGGATTGCCCCTGGCATCTTACTGCAGCTAATTGTGAACCCTGAGATGGAAACGGTGAGCAAGAATGTCTGGAGTGTGCTCATGGGATCCATGAGAGCAGGCCCCATCAGGGTGTGGCGCTGGGTAGAGGCTCTGTTTTATCCATTGCTGGTTTTCATGTTCGGTCTTTTGGAATTCAAGTTTTGGATTCCAGCTGTTGCAACAGTGAACAAAGGGCAAATTGAGAAGCCAGAGATGGAGCTTGTATCGGAAGAATCGCCCCCAGCAGTTCGCCGTCGGGCCACAATGATGCGGAGGACGTCCTTGATCTCCTCCTCCTACTCCCCACAATCAAATCTCTTGAAAAGGACAGCACGAAGGGCCTCGTGCGTACAGCCCAGAAGTTCTGCTTTCGTGTCCTTTGTGCAACCTCGAAGGTCGTCGATGTGTGGTCGTATCTCAATAATTGATGAAGAAACGGAGAAACTCAAGCTGCTTTAGGTCGAGCAATGGCAGCAGAAAAAGACACGGCACCGTGCACACCCGCAACCAACGCTCTCAAACGATTCCGGCCTGTTCCACAACAGAACAAGCTTGCAGAATCTGCAACGATGCAGAAGCGGAATCTATTATCACCTCACCACCAATTCATTCCACACTCTAGCGAAAAGAACGAGCTCGAGGCTGTTTCGTAACACGATAACCAAATTGAAACAAACGTCTGCAACGATGCAGAGGCGGAATGCTCGTCACATTATCACCGCGCCAATACAACCTACACACCAACATTACAGAAACGAACAAGCTACTAAACTGCAACAATGCAACTGACATTTTCATGATACATGATAGGCAACAAGAAAGGTAAAGACAATAGAATGCCATCTGTTTTACACGCAGCTGAAGGAGTGTCCAAATCTAGCAACTAACTAGAAGCGAACCAGGTCTGCCACTCATCGTATCGCTGTTCCTCCTCTTCAAGCTCTTCCTCCTCCGCCCCGCTATCTTCATCGCCGTCCTCTTCGACGTCGCCCGTGTTCGGCTGTTTGTTCTTTTCCTCGATCTCCAAGGCCTCCGGCTGTCCCTCGGTCGACTCAGCGGGGGTCTGCTCCATCTTGCCTTCGGCAAACTCCATCTTCTCGAGTCTGTCTTGAGATGGTATCTCTTCCAACCTCAGCGGCTTCTCCTCCTCTACTACTAGTACCTTAGGGACGTCCTCAATCGCACCTTTGTTTGTGGGCGCCACCACCAACCCCATTTCCTCGTCCGCATACTGCACAAAGGCTTCGACGGTGCGGTTGGACTTGTAAGCGGAGCACGACTTGATGCCGCCTCGGTACCATTGCATTGTTGGAAAGGCCATGAGACGTTCGCGTCTGCAGACAGTGGAGGGCCGCCCATTGGGGTAGCAATTCACGGCCACTACTTTGTAGTCACGGTTCTCGTTTTGAGCTCGTGAGGCAAAGTCATCCCAAATGGGAGCCAATCTTTGAGACCATCTGCACCAGGGAGCAAGGTAGGCGACAAAGACACGAGGATGTTCCTGGAGGTATTCGTCAAAGGTGTTATCGTCGAGGAAGGTGACAGCTTTGGAATCCTTGGTTAGATCACGACTATTAGCGAGCTGTTTAGGCGAGATCACTCGGGGCGCCATGGTCACTTGTTGTAGCCATTCCTCGTCTCCTCCATCGTACCAAGATCGAAGAGCCGGCTTCGACTCAGCGGGGGTCCGCTCCATCTTGCCTTCGGCAAACTCCATCTTCTCGAGTCTGTCTTGAGATGGTACCCCTTCCAACCTAAGCGGCTTCTCCTCCTCTACTACTAGTACTTTAGGGACGTCCTCAATCGCATCTTTGTTTGTGGGTGCCACCACCAACCCCATTTCCTCGTCCGCATACTGCACAAAGGCCTCGACGGTGCGGTTGGACTTGTAAGCGGAGCACGACTTGATGCCGCCTCGGTACCATTGCATCGTTGGAAAGGCCATGAGACGTTCGCGTCTGCAGACAGTGGAGGAGGGCCCAGCGGAGGGCCACCCATTGGGCGGGTAGCAATTCACGGCCACTACTTTGTAGTCACGGTTCTCGTTTTGAGCTCGTGAGGCAAAGTCATCCCAAATGGGAGCCAATCTTTGAGACCAGCTGCACCAGGGAGCAAGGTAGGCGACAAAGACACGAGGATGTTCCTGGAGGTAGTCGTCAAAGGTGTTATCGTCGAGGAAGGTGACAGCTTTGGAATCCTTGGTCAGATCACGAGTGGTAGCGAGCTGTTTAGGCGAGATCACTCGGGGCGCCATGGTCACTTGTAGTGGCCATTCCTCGTCTCCTCCATCGTACCGAGATCGAAGAGCCGGCTTCCACTCTGCTGTGCTCTGGTAGATGGAAGACAAGGCCGCGACAAACGTGGCAATTAACGCGAGACAAAGGCAGAGATTGATCTCCCTGGGTTTTGTTGTTTTCGCCTTTTTAGTAGAGACGAATTCATCGTCCTTCTCATCATCATCCACAATAGACTCTTCCACATCAGCATCCTCCTCATGATCAGGGCCGAGCTTGGGTTCTTCGATATCCTCCTCCATGATCGGAGGATCTTCCGCGTGGGGGACGAGCTCTTCGGTAGGAGGGATGTATTCCATCTTGACTTGATTGTTTGTTCCTTCTGTTTAATTACTGCCTATAGCAACAATTGTTCTTTACCGTCAGAGGCGAGCGTGTTGTTACGGGCAGGAAAGATAGATCTCGCGCATCGTGAGGGGTTGTCTGTCGTTTCAGACGTGTTTTGATCCTGAGACTTAAAATGCCTGCCGTATTTTCCAGTGCAAGCCGGACGTACTGTTGTCTACCCATGTCCACTACTAACACAGTACGTACTACTAGTAGCTACATGCGCCAGAGTCTCAATCAAGGCTGAGAACCACTGAGACTTGATGACTGCAGTACTGGACCGTCCGACGGTTTTCACTCAGGATTTAGAAAAACTTGAAATTCCCACCACTGATGACGGTTTAAAACATGCCCTTAAACATGCCCTTAAATCTTCAACATGCCCTTAAACATGTTTTAAGGGCATGTTTATTTAAGGGCATGTTCATTCGTGATAAGGGCATGTTCTATTGTGTTTCAATGAAGGCTTAAGGGCATGTTTTGAGGCATTAGGGGCATGTTTTAAGTGCATGTTTATTTAAGGGCATGTTTAAGGGCATGTTGAAGATTTAAAGGCATGTTTAAGGGCATGTTTTAATTAAAGTTTCATCAGTCGTGGGAATTTCAAGTTTTTTTAAATCCTGAGTGAAAACCATTGGACGGTCCTGGATTCGGTTCTGCTACCGGTAGCTAGCTACCAGGTAGGGTTAGGGTTAGGCTACCTGGTAGCTAGCAAGCAAATAAGAAACTCTGTTCATGAAGACGACGTGCGATGGATGTGAAGTGCTCTCTAGCTCTCTCTGCCCAGCATCGGTTGAAATCCTATCTTATAACGTACGGAATGCATGCATGAGCAATGTCTGTACCGGTAAATGTAGCTTTCTATCTCATGTGTTACGGAATGCATGCATGAGTAATGTCTGTAGCTACCTATCTTATGTACGGAATGCATCCATGAGCAATGTCTGTAGCTACAAGCAAACTCTGATCCCTCCTGAAGGCCATGATGAGTCGAGTCTCCGCGATACAAATTGTGCAGCCAGTCTTTTTACAACCCCATAGCTACCGTAGCACTGCGATGTTCCATGTTGGTAGCGGTGATAGTGGTACTTTTGCGAAGGCAGCCCAACTGCTGCTTCACAGTTTTGACAGATCATACGATTTTATACACGATCAAGCCAGCCTCATATCCAAGCCATCGTAGTACTCCACTGAACCACTTCCAAACTTTCTTCCCGCATCGTTCTGGAGGAATGGAGAACCTCATGATGTGAAGGCTCGGAGTTGTAGCTCGATTGCGCCTTGACGTTGAAACCCGTCGTCTTGTCACTGTCATCATCTGACTGGTCCGTGTCGCTCCCGCTCTGGGGCTTCAAGACTAGATCGCCTTCTTCTATGATGTCGACCGAATCCATCGTTCCGGTCGGACCGCAAATGGAAAGAAGCACAGGAAGGAACACCAGTCCGTGGGTCACCCCCAATGCAATCATGGCGAAAAAGCTGATGAAAACTGTACTCAGTATGTTGCTTGTGCTGAGGGCCAATGGCAAAACACCGAGAGACGTAGAGAGACCCCCCACCAAAATTGAGGCTCCCATCGTCTCCAAAGTATCCCTTACTCTGTCCTCTCTCGTCCGTTTTGATGATTCGTAGTACCGCAAAAGAACGTGGACGATGAAATCAACCATGAGTCCAATCGAGATAACCAGGCAGATGTAGGTAACCGCATTGATATGGAGCCCTGCCCATTGAAGCGTTCCTGAAGAAAAACAGAATTGCCCATGGTGGGATTACGGTGCACGGGCAGAACGTGAGACACACACTAGTTCCGGGTTCAAGTTGGGCGATGAGTTCCTTCACACTACTAGTATCTTACCAAGCAGGTTGATGTAGAGCATGGCAATCAGAGGCCCAACAAAAAATATACCTGTCCAATGCGGGAAGAAGAGGAAGCCGACGGCACAAACAGCCGCAACACCTGTGGAGGCAGAGGCGGGAGATCAGATCACTTCTCACGGGGCGGGGGAGATCAAAACAATCAAGAGAATACTTACCACTGATAGTCGTATAAATCAGTTCCTCCACTGCAACAGCATAGAATTCCTGTCGATAGTGCCATGACGAAAGGTAAGAGGACGGTTAGCGATCAAACTGACGTTGCACACCGGAGCCAATTCCTTTGACAACTTACCCATATGAAATACACTCGGTCAAACGTGAAGAAACTCCAATCTTTGGTTCCCTGGTTTATTGGTTGGCGGGCAGTGACTTCTCGTTGAGCTTGGAGAATGCCAATCTGGTCCTTGACAACCTTCAAGTCGACGTTTTCGGCGTAAGTGAAACAACGGGACGCCGTAATCGCCCCACTCTCGTTACGAACAACATGCTTCCCATATGTTTCTTTGATGGCAGGAACGGAAAAGGCGTAGTCGAGCTGCTCAGTATACGTCATGTTTTCGAGTCCCACTCCTTTCGCCAAGGACGAGTTCATGAACTCTTCAAAGTCTCGGAACCAGCAGAAGGGTGGATCATCAATGAATTGAGGGAGTGCTGAGAGTTCGTCGACATAGTTTTTCATCTGCCGTTGCATGTCCGGATCCATTTGGTCATGGTCGCCACGAAAGTAGATGCCTACTCCAAGGACTCGAGTAGTGTAGGTTTCAATGGAATACAGAAAGTCTTTCACGTACGAGTCAGCGGGTAGAAGGTCGGCAAAGTCGAATTCTTGGGTCAGCTTTGTTGTCGTATAGGAGCAAAACCCTGCGTAGCCTAGAAACAAAACCACAACTACAAATTTCACCCATGGACGGAGAAGCTTTCTTGCATACCAAGCCATGAACCTTTCCGAAACTGTCTTCCTTGTTCGAGTTTGATTAGGCGCTGCGATGTCAGATTCCCAATCTTCCGAGACCTTCTTTGAAGTTATGCACGTGCAGCAGTCCATTCGATTCGCTTGAATTCGGCGTTCATCGAGAACAATCAGGGCTACAGAGGAGTTCCGCGAAGCAACAGGTAAGTTCAACGCAAGATTGGACGACGAATTGGAACCCACACTTGAAAGGGCGAGACGTGGTGGGAGGTCTTACCAACGAAAAATGTGATCTGGAACAAGAAATCCACAGCAATCGTTGGGAAAGCATACAAGTTCAGCCAATAGATTGCGGGGATTGTTGAAAGGAGCCCCAACATGAAAGCAACCATGGTTGTGATCGTTGTAACAGAGATGCTGAGGCCCACCTCCTCCATAGCCTCACGAATCCTCTCCTCGGGTTCCTTGTCAGGGTCCGTTCGAAAGTACGCTCCAGTGATGATGAATGCGTCATCAAGCCTGTAACAGAAAGCAGAGATTGTTGTTAGCACACAACTCAACCAGTCATCCAAGTAGAGTCATCCAAGTGTAGAGCCATCCTAGTATAGAGCCATCCTGCATGGCACTCACCCCACACCGAACACAACAAATGGAAGAATCTGTGTCATACTAGTGAATGGTACTCCAATCATGAACAAGATGCCGAAACTGCTCATGATGGCAAGAAGAATTGTGACAACCGATCCAATTCCTAGTAAGGATCTCGACTGCACTCGATCACACCGGAAGAACACAAGGCATGTAAAGCCTGACATCAGGAAGAAGACAATCGGAAGAAGGTACAAATCTTTCTCGATAGCCCGTTGAAATTCATCCGAATAGGATCTCATGGCAAAGTATTCCAGCTTGAGTGGGCTTGCATCATTGTCCCACTCTACTTGCATTTGCGCCATTTTGTCCATCATGAGGCCTTCTAATTTCTCCAATCCTTCTTTGTCCTTGTTGGCCAGAAAGAAGAACACAAGGTACGAATCGACCGATTCAATCAAGCCAGTATCGGGATCGTCCACGTAGTTGCCCAGAATCATATCAGTGTCGACGGGCGTCAAGTTCTCGTATGTATCTGCAGAAATGACCTTGGTGATCGCCTCCTCGCCTCCTTCCTCGTAGACTTCTTCGAAAACGTCAATGTCATGCTTGAAGAATCGCGATACAGATGCAATCTTACACGTTACGTCGCCATCAAAGTTCACATAGTCTCCTTGCGAACAAACATGGTCGTAGCCTTCAATGGCTCGGACCGAATCGACCACTTGGAAGACTTGTCGAATGTAGTCTGATCCCAGAACGTTGTCACCGTCGGCGTGCAAGGACACAGTGAAGACACGAGCATTGCCCGGAAACCCAGATTCGTTATTGATCCATTCGGAATGAGTTTTCGTTCTGGATTTGAAGGGTGCATAGATCTCTTGCTCGTCCGTGTTGATGTTGAAATTTGTGAACCATCCCGCAGCGAGCAGTCCAAACGATATCATTGTGACTGACAGGATGGTTATTTTTGGCCTACGAGCAGAAGCAACAGCTACCGAAACAACAAACGATTGGATCATGCTGTGAAAAATGCTTGTGAACTGGGACCAGAGTGGAAAGATGGGATTTCGGTTGCGCTTGGGAGCAGCATTCTCTGACAATTCGTTTTCGAAGCCTTGCAATGCTTCGCCATTTGCTGGTTTTGCGCCGTGGCTCTTCACTGTTGATATAGGGAAAAGGACAAACAAACAAGACAATGTGCACTTATTAGAACTCGTTTGATCCACTGCGTACGCGCCGAAGAAAGACGGTATTGTCGACTCGACTCACCGCTAAGTTGGGTCAGTCCCCCACCGCTGCTAGGACTACGTATCACGGAATCAATCTCCCCTATACCGGTATCAGTGGTTTCATCCACCAGTGTATCATCGTCCAAGACATTCTTATCCTTGTTCGGTATATCGACGGCAATGCCAGAGTCAGTCGATTCTGCCTTGTTGGCGAAGCACTCCAGCATTCCACACGGGGACGAAGTCATGGTTGCGCTGTCTCGAGTGGATTATCGTTTCGTATTTAGTGTTCAATGGATTGTTGTGATTACTAACAAATGAGTTGATGATACCGGTATGAAAGAAAAGAGCTAAGTCGGCAAACCGGGATGTGGCAATGCTCAACTGAAAGGATTCTGGATTTTTGTGTTTCACGACCAAAGCACCTCGAGAGCTAGCTAGCTAGCTTGGTACTGGAGTTGTCTTCAGTGCTATTACGTCGATGGTATGCATTGGTGTTGTTGCCGAAGCGAAGAACAGTCTAGTAGCTACTCTAGAGTCGGCGAGCAATAGTTCGTGTTGGCAAGAGTAAACATCCACTTGCTTCTGTGGCGCATGGCACGTAACGTGCAGAGTCCCGACCGGTGGGAATCGCTGAAAAAATGACCTCGCTCAAATCGCGCGTCAGTTTTGAAGATTCGGTGATTAGAGCAGCAGACAACCAACGGAGAGGTTTCCCCATGTTACCCTTATCAAGGCAGTTAAGCACTTCAATAATTAGGTCTTATCTCATTCGGTCTCATTCATCTATCGCTCGCTCGTTCCTCTAAAGTGTGCCTCTCGAAGAACTGTTCAGAATCCTCGATTCTCTCGCACACGAGTTGTCCTATCAAGGTGCTCGCAACGCAATTGAGTTGGGTGCTTGCGGCGGAAAGGCAAAAAAGAGGCAAGCGAGTGGATGAACGACAATCTGTGGGAGTGGCAACAACGAGGGAGTGATACACGAGAATTCAAGTTCGGGTCTGGTGTTTTTGGCGGCTACCGCAGCCTCCAACCAAGGGCAGAGGACGGCAAGCTATACAGAACACTGCAGCAATGACGGCTTTGTCTCCTTCCTCGGCGGGTACTAGCAGCACGAGTCTACGGTTCTTGCCCACTCTAGGCGAAAACCGTGCCGTACACCTCTGGCGAGATGTTACGTGGTGGTTTAGAAGACTAATCATGATATTGATTTTGTCGATAGCCAACGCTGCAGCGACAAACCCATATTCGTGCATTGCGTTTACGCTGTCCCTGTCAGGCGCCATGTTAACAGCTGGTCTATACACCGACTTCAAGCTCGACCTCGACTTGATTCACATTTTCACACCCACGACCAGTCTCACCATGGGACAACGCGAATGGGCTCTTCAAGGATCTGGGCTGCAAGGATATGTTGCCACGCATGTTCCCATGCAGATTATCATTCATGCACAGGGTGACAACGTTATGACCTATGAAGGCATTGAACGAGCCTTTCAGATGTATGAGTTGACCAATTCGATCGGGGGCCTAGATGAAATCTGCGGCCGCAACGAAAACTCGAATACCGACATGCAGCGAGTCCAAACCAACTATTTTACCGAATGCGATGTTCAGTCTGTCACTCGGTTTTGGGATCACAACAGGACGGCATTTCAAGAAATGGTACCCGTAAACGATGACAACGTAACTCGCTTCCTGCTGAACAATACCTACCCCGACGGCACAACCGTAGATTACGACATGATCTTCGGATCGCTCCAAACAAGGGATGATGGAATCCCTGAGTCAGCCACAGCGCTCTTTGTTACAGTCGAAGTCCCCTTGTCAAGGCTGGGATCGCGCAAACAATTGTACGACTACTCCGACAGGTTGCTGTCCAACGTCACGGCGATCCGTCAGTCTTGGGCATCACAGTCATCCGATTATCGAGTCGAGTTTGCCTTCAACTACAGAATCGACCAAGAGTTTCTCTCCACGATACTCTCCGATTTGCCCATCTTGCCCATAGCGTTTTCTCTCATGCTCGCATTCATGTGCTGCATATTTTGGAGGCGACATCGAGTCCAATCCAGACTGTTGCTTGCATTTGGATCTGTCGTGACCGTTGTCGCCTCCATGGCCACGTCATTTGGCATCATGTTTATCTTTGGTGTACCCTTTACTGTCGTGACCAACCTACTTCCCTACATTGTCTTTGGCATTGGGTGAGTACCATGAGATGCTCCTCGCAACCCATATCCCGCACCCTGCGACTGAGGTCGCCTTGTTTTCTCTTTTCTTCTCTTCTCACGGCACTTGTTTCTCATTCTACCTATCTGGGCAGACTCGATGATACATTCATCATCCACGGAGCCTATCTACGGACAAATCCCAACCAGCCAACAGAGCATCGCATTCGAGAAACCTTTCAAGAAGTGGGGTTGAGCATTGCAATGACAACAATGACAACGTCTATTGCCTTGGCATTGGGAATCATCTCAACAGTTCCCGCCATTCGGTATCTTTGCATATATGCGGCTCCAACCGTTCTCATTGATGGGCTATACCAGATCAGCCTTTTTGTCAGCTTTATTGTTCTAGATGAGCGACGAATCAAAGCCAATCGCATGGATTGTTGCCCCTGCGTGGTGACGACCTCCAAGTACGAGTACTACGACGACGACGATGACCTACGTCTGGAAGAAGATGACAAAATGTCAGTTGACAAAGTGAGCGTTTCGACTTACGAAGGATCGTCGAGCAGCAGTAGCAATCCACCACAAAAACGGAGGACATGCATGAGCTGGTACGCAGATTTGCTGCTTCGCCTACCGGTCAAGATTGCGGTGCTTGTAACTTTTGCCGGTATCTTCGTGGGGTTGGCGTACAGCGCAACATTTTTGAGACAAGATTTTAGCTTTTTCGATCTGTTGCCCAGTAATTCCAGTACTAGGTCATACCTGGTGTCTTTGGAGGAATACGGTGGCCACAATGGCGAGATCAATGTGTACTTTCGAGATATCAATCAATCGGACCCAGATGTGCAAGTTCAGATGATCGACTACCTTGATCAAATCATCGCTCTTGACCACGTCGAACTGATGCCATTCTGTTGGGTCCGTGATTTTCGAGCCTTATTAACCGACCCTGAAGGCTTGATCGAAAAGGTTACAAATGACCCTTCCACTGCTCGGATCGTAGAGAGGTACCCAGCATTCGCTGAAGCACTCCGGAATCAGGGTCATCTATTGGACAAGTTGACGCCCAACCAAGTATTGGACCTAGTTTTGGCTCATCCAATTGGCAAGCTACTATACGAACCGCACATAAGGCGCGATCCAAACACAGGAAACGTCATCATATCCCGGTGCAAAGTGACAATTGAGAATCTCGATTACAGCAGCGTCAAAGATCGGGTCAATCTCCTGAATGCACAGAATGAGGTGACAGAGACACATCCTATCAATCAAGGCGCTGATGAATATCGCGCCTTTCTGTACAAGGATCTTTTTCATCTATGGGAGGTAAGAACTTTGTGCCAGAAAACACTGGCTGAAACCTTGACTCTTTTTCACTCAAAGTCTCGTTTTGCCCTTTCAACTTCCTCTCTGGACCAGTTCTTTGATGTAGCCATCGCCGAGTTGAAGTATACTGCATTTGTGGGCATCATCACTGTCACAGTCTGTGCCTTGGTCTTCGTTCCTCACTGGACAGCCATCACTTACGTCTTTCCATTGATGTGCATCCTATACGTAAACCTTCTGGGACTCTTCAACTTGGTTGGTCTGACGCTCAATGTATTGACCTACGTTGTGCTTGTTGTCTCCGTTGGACTGCTGGTTGACTTTTTAATGCACGTCTTACTTCGATATTACGAGTCCACAATGACGACGCGAGACGAACGAGTCAAAGACACCTTGGAGACTATGGGGTCTTCGATATTGTTGGGTGGTATTTCAACATTCCTTGGTTCGGTGCCTTTGGTCTTCAGTGAAAGCATGGTGTTCCAAACAGTTTGCATAGCCTTCTTTTGTATGATCACGCTCGGAGTGGTAACTGGACTTGTTCTCCTTCCCGTCCTCTTGTCCATCTTTGGATGCGAGCCCACCTCAAAGGATGATGTTCAACTCAAGAACATGTCATCATTATCCTACAGTTGGAAAGTCCCAAGTCCCAAGAACGCCACCCAGTTTACAATAGCCAGCAACAGCAGTGGCACGTTTCCACCCCCAATCCTCACTAATGACTCCAGTGAGCATGTGAATATAGAGGAGGCCGTGCAGACCGCGGTCCAACACGACATCACATCCAATCAAAAACAGCACGCCCAACAGGACAATATTATTTTATCAAACCACCAACACAACATGACAGCCGACCAACATGGCATTCAATGCAGCCAAACTCAAAATGAAATTCCCCCCAGGTATAGTACGAAACAGATTGTTCAATCTTCTGATCGTTGTTTTCAGCGCGAACCCTCGATCTTGTTATCATACGTTCGTGTAGAATCTTATTTGACCCCAGTTCACAAGAATCTTGAGTATTTTGATCCAATTGAGGAAATTGAACTTTCTGTTGTTCCCGAGTTCGCATGAATCTGGAGTATTTATTTTGATCCAACTAAGGAAATTGAACTTTCTGTTGTTCCAGATCCTTGTGGGGGATTGCGCTGCGCTGGTGTGGGGGGTGGCAACTGATTTTTCAATAATGGGAAAAACAAAGTCGCGCCCATGAAATGGTGCCGCTATTCAACTAAGGAAATTGAACTTTCTGTTGTTCCAGATCCTTGTGGTTGCGCTGCGCTGGTGTGGGGGGTGGCAACTGATTTTTCAAGAATGGGAAAAACAAAGTCGCGCCCATGAAATGGTGCCGCTATTTGGAAGGGAGGGACCGAGGACCAAGAAAAACGAATACGACTGTACTAGAAAACTAACCTGAATAAGAAGCTACCGGTAGCCGCAACTTTTGACTTCTTTTATTTTAAAAAAAGCTTGAGAAAGATAGCTGAAAGATTATGCCAAAGGAGTGCCAAAGGTTGGAAGCTAGCTACCTGGTCCCGGTGTACGTACCGGTGCATGGCATCCTTTTACGGTACAGGACCGTCGGACCGTTTTTGCTCAGGTTTAAAAACTGCTCAAATCGTGGTTCTCTCGTTAAGGGAATGTTAAGGGAATGTTGAAGCTTTAAGGGAATGTTAAGGGAATGGTGAGGATTTAAGGGGATGTTTTAAGGGAATGTTTATTTAGGGGAATGTTAATTTTATTAAGGGAATGTTCTATGGGGTTTTCATGAAGGCTTAGAGGAATGTTTCGAAGCCTTAAGGGAATGTTGTTAAGGGAATGTTGATTTAAGGGAATGTTAAGGGAATGTTGAGGATTTAAGGGAATGTTTTAAGGGAATGTTTAAGGGAATGTTTCCACTGCCATATTTTAAGTTTTTTTAAAACTTGAGCGAAAACCGTCGGACGGTCCAGTACCCCATTCGGTAACTCTAGCTAGCTAGTAGTGGGAGTACTCTAGCTGGCTAGCTACTAGAGGAGTTCGGTACCGGTACCAGGTACCGGTACCAGTTCCTGTATTGGTGTATTGGTACCGCACACCGAAAATGCTTTGTAATACTGGAGGGTGTCTCAAACCAACTCCAAATGATTGACTGTTCCCTCAACCACCGGAATTATCACTTCAAGTGGCCAAAACAGACGGTTGAAAGCGGTGAATAAGTTCGGTACAGCGCGGTGGAAGGCGGTAAAAAGGTGGAAATAAGGCGGTAGAACGAGCGGTAGAGGTCGGTATAGCGTGGTTGAAGGTGGTGATGGTCAAAGCGTCAAGGTAGGAAGGTGGAGTAAGACATCCTCAGTTACACTCAGTTGGTGAGACACCCCCCAGTAAAGACAAATAAATGTGATTTATGTTATTTAAAAAAAGCAAATCAGCTGCGTAGCTTTCTCTGCCAAAAGCCTTTGCTTCTATTAAATAGGCACTTCAACCGGGATTACTAAATCATCTTAATCACTTTCA